CTGTAGAAAGCCTCATCAACTTCCTCAAATCAAAATCCCAAAGCCTAGAAGGTGGAAGGGAGGGAGGAACACAAACAGCTGGATTCCACCCAAAGGACTCCCAGCCAGAAAGTGCAGTAAATTGTGTGCTGTGACGTTCTCAGCTATGGGTAAGAGCAACAGGCAGGGAGGGAAGAAGAGCTTGCTGCCAGGCTGGGAAGCAGCAGTCACCCACGAGAGGTTTACATGGTGCTCATCAAAACACACACATCACAGAACAGTGATGCTCCATCACCCTCTCTTCTGTTCTTCATCTTGCAAAAATCCCTTCAAGTCTGTACATGATGTGTAAGCCATTTTGTAACTAAATGAAAGGACACAATATAAAGTGGGGAAGACTAAATATATAATCAAGCTTTTTTATGAATTCAAGATGCATAAAAAGTAAATGGAAAGAAAATTACCTTTATTGTGTACCAGTATCATTTTGAATACTATTGAAAAGAGTAATTTTTTCAGGTAGAAATCCTCAGCACTAAGACAATACATATTTGTACAAAAAAAGTGTTTTGCAAATCTGAAGTTTAGATTTAACATACAAAACTCGAGACATAAGGACTTAAAAGGCAGATATGAAAGGTCACAAAGCAAGAAAGCAAAACTGACAAAAAATGAGACTTTGTATCGTCATTTTTGGTATTTTCAAGAAGCACAGAGAACCTGAGGAGGATCAACACAAAGCAGAAAGGAGTGCATTCAACAGACAGCATTCCTCCACCGGCTGATTGCATTACCTAAGGCGAAAGGTTAGAGTGAATACAGGCATTGGATAAGATAAGAACAGAGCAGCCTTTCTTTGTCAGGCTCTAACAGCTCTCTTTAAACAGTATTGCACAATTTAAATCTTCCTGTATTCAAGGAGATGCAGACACAGACCCACCCCTAAGAACTGTAAAAACAGTCCAACTAGATGAGCAATACAAGTTAGCCCTGGACACTAAGGATGGGAAGGAAAGCAAACAGCAGCAGCTATGAAATCTAGAAAGCCTCTTTGGGCTCAGAGCCAACGCTGCAGCCTGTCTGCCATCAACCATGCACACTGCCATCGCCCAGCATCAGCCTCAGAAGGCAGCATTAATCTGGGGGCTTGCCTGGTGGAGGGGGAGGAAGCAGGCAACGCCAGTGCCCCAGAGCTGGCAGGTCTGAAGCTTTCAACTATGCCAAATATGCAGATGTGAAATATCTACCCTCAGGTAAGCCAGGCTGCACAGTGGGGAACACAATGACACACCAGAAACAAGGATCCAAGTCTCAGTTTTGACATTTATTAGCAGCTCTGACCTTCTACCAGAGCCAAATCTGGCACCATGAAGAAAGTAGCTGCCTTTATAACCATGATCCTCATCTCCCAGAACTGACAGAAAAACCAGAAAAGCAAGCAAAAGACTGTCCCATTTCACATGGGAATATAGCATGCCTGGCAGGGCCCTGCCCTCACCTGTCTGGCAAAATCGGAAACATTTTACAGTGAAAGTCTCCTGTCAAAAAGTGAGTGATAAGGTAAAAGCAAGCAGTTGATTTTGATACAGGAGCTATCTGTACTTTATGGTGTGGCACACAAGCTTGGAGTCCAACAGTTACAAGGTAGTGGCATGTAAACCAGCCTGGTTTGATCCCGGACCATAATAAATATTTGCAAGCTGTTGAAATCAGTGTACTAGTGCTGAGCTGCAAACCCCTGGGATTTCTGTATAGAGTTTTGCAAGAGATTATTTATGCCTACAGTTCTGATACGTCTGCTTCTTCCCTTGTCCCTCCCCAACATGAGACTAGTAGAGATACCAAAATCTTGCTTTAGGGTTAAAATACCTATCTGAGTGTTGCCCATACTTGTTCATGAACTTAAAGACATCTCTCTGACATTATTCCTTCATTTCAAGCAGGTGGTGGCTGCATTTGATCAGAAACAGACATCATCAGAGAAGTTTCTTTCTCCTTTTCATCAGGAGGGTGACATGAGACTGAAGACTCACCTTTCAAGTGACTGTAACATGGAGCAGAGGGGAGAATATTTTTTTCAGAATCACACTGATGTACTACCTGTGCAAAACTTTAATCACATAAAAGCAGGCACAGTGATTAAAGATCACAAATATGCACTGCTCATGAGTGAAGCAAGAACCTCTACAGCTCCAAGTGCTGGTACTGGAGCTAGTCTCCCCAGCACCAGTCAGTCCTCACAAAAAGCAAAACAAGCTATTTACTGGGGGGAAAGAAGCATATCCCATTTAGTCCAGGCTGTTGAAATGACAAACACCCACAGCCATCAATATGTAAAGTATCCTGTGGGAATCCCTGCAAATACACCCTGGAAGACAAAGCAAAGCACCCACCCAAGGCCTTACATTAACTTAAAGGAGGAGAATAAAAGCTTTATATTAAACAATTATTTTTTCTTAAATCTCTAGAGTAGCAAATATTAACATAGTTCAGCTGGGACATTAAGCAAACTGATGTTAAACAGCTTAAATTTTTGTTTCTTACCTCCTCAGGTACAATGATTAAAGGGTATTTGTCCTCTGATAAGAAGTTAAAAATAACCCACACTTTAAATGCATCTTCATCACTAATCAGCAAGGGACTTTTAGAGAGGTTCTTTTTAGCACAGAGAGTCCAGCACATCCTGTTGAATTCAACTTTGTCAAAGTTTCCTTGAACCTAAAATTAAGAAATTAAGCAAAGCAATTAATATGCACAAGTGGCACAGAATAACAAAGTCTAACATGTCATTATTCTAGTTTTCAAGAAATGTCGAGGCCCAAAAAACCCACTGTAGCAGCCTAGTCTGACTTTCTGTATGGGGTCAAACAAAGGAATTTCTTAGTTTGAAATTTCACTTTCTCAGAATTGAGGAATTTCTGGTTGAGACACAACCAACACCCTGACTTCATGTGAAGGAGGCTGCTCTGCATTCTGCATTTCCTCTAGCACATTAGCTTTAGCTTCCAAACCACCTTCATCACTGTCTTGGTTCCAAATGCCCTTCTACTGCACCGAGTGACTGAGTTTTTATGTAGCAAATTTGGAAAACAACACAGCCAAAACTACATGTGGATATGCTAAAAATCATATGGGAGCAATAGCTGGGAAGGACCTTTCACATGTTTTTCCACTTCATGTTACTCAAACATAACTCTTATAGGCTATTTATAAATACCTAATAATTTTTTTCTTGAATGCTAATCCACTTAAAACCTTCTCTTTTTCTCAGGCTTGCAAACCTTGACCTTACTAAAAAATCCTTGCCTTGGTTATCCTTTAAAGGATAACCCTCTCAGTTCTGCTAGAGATGAAGAAATCTGTCTCCCAACAGCTTGGCATCTATTTCTTTGCCAACATGTAACTGATAAAGGAGGTACTGCATTGTAATGGAAGTCCCTTGAGGTTTTGGAAAGCATGTCTGAAAAACAGGTTATTGTACCTCTTGTGGTAGTAACGTTAGTAGTGTTCAGTGACATTTTCTTATGACAGGCCAAACCATGCATCTCAGATGCTTCAGGGACACCACCGCAAACCGTAAAGATTTCCTATCCGGTTTGGTCAGTGGTTAAATATAGTGGAGAGCGAGCCACGGTGGCTAAGTCCAAGACAGACCAAGGAAGTGGATGAACTGATGTGGGTGGAGGAAAAACAAAACAAAGAAGTGTTTCTTGGCATAGGATTGGTTTCCTGTTTACTTCATAGACTGAATGATTGCAGAGCAGGCCACCAATGTAAGTGACAATGCAAGAGGCTGGCTACTGCCCTTTGAAGAGGGTGGAAGCTGTAGGAGCTATAACTGCTCAGCATCCCAGTCGTTCCCACAAGAAGCAAGGTTTCCCTCTCCTTCCTTCCACCTGTCAGTGTCTCATCCCTCGGCTGCTTTTGCCTGTGCTTTTTCCTATCTACCCTCCCAGCCCGGCCAATGAAGCCTGACTGCTTTTCCAAAACAGCTTCACCCATCCAAATGATGAGCAGTTCCACCTTGGAAATGTCCTAGTGGTTATGCTACTCCTGAGGAAGATGCCACCAGAGTGGGAAATCTCCTTTGCTAAGGCACCACCTGGCAAGTACTCTAAGCACTGTAAATACGGTGAGTTGCTCTATGAGCAGCTTATGTTTTAAAGCTGGGCAGCAATCAGTGACCACAGGGAGATGGGTGGAGAAAGCACAGGGCCTGGCCAGGGTAACAGAAAGTGTACAGTTTCTGCTCACATAGCAAAGCTGGACTGCGTGTGCCTCGGAAACTCGTGTCAAAACCCAAGTCACCTACAGCCCATTACTGCCACCAGGATTAGGCAGCAGCCAAGCAGGTTTCAGGAGCATTTTGCTGCAGGGGACTAGCTCGTGCTGTGCCAGTGGTCCCACTTTACACATGTAAGCCCTTTTCTCAGAATTCAGACTTGATTGAATGGGGCCCACATGTCATCCAGAGCAGAGACGCTTAGGAATTATTCAGGAACAACAGTCAGATGAAAGCAGAAGCCCCAGCTCTCTAGAAGACCTCTGATGCCCATTTGTGGTTTTTTTCCTAAATGGTCAGGCTGGCTGTTAAATAAAGAATACTATCACAAAATTGTTGTTGTGGGGATACTGTCGGGAATGGAACTAAATAGTTCTCTTTAATGAAGAATAAAAATTTTCCTCAGCAATTCCAGGTAGCAATGTCAGCTGTTCCTGGCACCTACGTTCTATAAGTACATTTGTGTGGGGTGGCACGGGAAGGAAGTTGAAATTCTGCAAGTAAACCCAAACTGCTTTACAGCTAACTCCATACTACAGAAGTCTTGGCTGTGCTACGTTGGCTTCCTTGACTAGCAAAACTCCAGTGCAGGTGGCTACGTAATAATTCCTTTGAATTAATAATCTCTCTGGACTTATGATAGATAATTTCTTAGCATAGTTTCAAATATTAAAAATATCTTAACAGTTTCTGAAGTTACACTTGAACTTCTAACTTAGTTAAGAAACTGTAAAAGTAGAAGCTTTTCAAACAGGAGGAACTGAAGTTAAAAAAAAAACCCCTAGTCACAGACCCATATACACATTGCTTTTTCATGACATGAACAAAACACATATTTATAAAAACAGATTGGGCCAAATACTATCCTGGTATTTAAATGTAAAGAGAATTCCCCTAAACATCTAATTACAGTCAGGCTCTACTGTATCCTACACTGAAGTCATCCTGATGCGAAACTAAAATAATAAATTTATGACACTACTGAGAACCCAAAATTTCAATTTTATTTCACCAGAATACTCATCCTATTTGCAACCTGTGTGACTATCTCACAACTCCATTGCTTAATTAATGAACAATCCTTGTACCAGAGACTCTTTCTGCACCCTAGTACATGCTTTTAACTATATTTCAAAATTTGTCCAAATTATTTGAAGTAACCACTTATTTGGAAACTTCTAAAGTACTCCACACGACTAACTCTACAGCAGCTACCACTTTTATTTGTGAATCTGTCCAGATGATGAAACACGCAAATGAACCAACCACTCCAACCTTAAAACTGCTTAAACTGATACAGATGAAAACATCACCCATAAAAGACACCCACCTTTCCTTTCTAAGAAGTTTCACAAAATAATCAAAATAAAAACGTACCAAACCCCATACAATTTTCTAGGTCTTTACTTTCTACTAATATGCAAAGTACAATTTATCACCATCAACTTCTCAGCAAATAACTCTAAAACATAATGAAATACAGAAGATACTTTGCTTAAGTACTAGTGATCTGATCAGTTCCAAAAATACACTGAGCATTGGTAGTGTAACTAGCATCCACTAAGTTGTCTGGAAGATGAGATAACCTGAGGTCTGGAACAACGTCCTTCTTCTCCCCACATATGACTCTTCACTGCTGTAAATAAGGCATGTTGTAAAATACCAGCATCACCATCATTGAAAAGAAAACATTTTCAATCTGTATTAAGAGACATACATTGTAAATAATGGAATGTGCTAAAATATGGTTGAGACCAAAGTAAAATAAATTTTGAAGACATCATATTGATACGTGACAGCTCCCTCCTTAAAGAGACACTTAAAAAGAACACATTTCGTTTCACATGGAAGAAGGTTTATCTGGCTAAGAAACAGCAGCATGATACTGGAAATCATCAATTAGGCACAGTAATTATTCAAACTATTTATTCAAATCCTCTATTTGCCTAAAGGAAAAGAGTTGCAACCAATTTTCCTCATTAAAGTATTGACTTGTGCCTTTCTTGATGTTTCCTTGATTCTATATAAAGAGGCTTTACTTCAGTGTAAACCAGCACTAAAAAACATGCAAAGCTACTACTGCATGTAAGAATACAACAGAAGTTGTACAGAAGAAATAAAAAAAAATCCTCCTGAGCAGGTTGCTCTTGCTCAATTCAACTAATTCACCAGATGATGTATGACTGGAAATTGAGTGAACTTCCTCTCTCTATTTGGCAGTATAAAGCACCAGTCCTTATTTAGTAGCTTTTCTTACAAGCATAAATAAATAGCATTTGTTCTACAATCACCCCATCTAAAAGAACAGATTACGTCTCAGAAGAATGAAAAAAGAAGGGATTTTTTGTTTGCTTTTTTTGCTTGTTTGTTCTAAACAAAGGAGACATACTATGAACCCCACTGCACGTTGTCTTTCAGCACTGACGTAAAGTCATCTCTAAAAGATGAGGTGTCACCATCAAGATTTTTCTAGTCCACAAAGATAGCCTTCTGTCTAAAGAATTTCACTCATTTGTAATAGTATATATCTAAACTGTTTGCAAGCATTTAGTCAGGATTAAATAACATAAAGTTACAGGTAATTTAACCCTGTTCCTTAACATTTCCCTGTTTTAAGATAAACTAATTGTATGGGTATATCAGGTCATTATGGGAAGTCAGATCAGCGTATGAATAAAACACCACAAGAGCAGTCATGCTCTTCTTCACCAGATACTACGGTAGCTTGCCTTTTGTTTTTAGCATGGTGTAAGAAGGTGCCCCAGAGTAACTAAACATTCTAAACTGCTTTTGTAGCCAGGTCTTTCATTTTCAAATTCAAAGTGTTATTTAAATGCTATTGCTCCTCATTTCCGTAACAATAAAACACATTTCTACTTGTAAAACCCTCCCATCTCTCTCGTTTTGTTTTTTTTTTTCACTCAATGGCTGGCTACCGCCACTGTGATTCACACTCTATTAACGGTAATCCTTTAGTCAAAATATAGTGCTTTTCCCCGAAATTGTATACAGACTGCTTGGTCTCTGTTGAATCTTACAGAAGCTCAGACAGCCAACATGAAGTGGAAATGAGATCACAAAGTTCCTAGGGACAGAGCCAGATTCTTCAACATCAAACAACCAAGACTTTAAGCAGGCACCTTTATGCGTACTAACGGCCAACAACTCCCACACATTGAACAGGGCACTATCACAGAGTGAGAGAAACTCAGACTAGACGGGCAGAGCAGCTGGTAAATCTTAGCTAGACATAAAAAACTTCTACTAATTCCAAGCTGCCAGACTGCATTACATATATGTCATATTTTCCACTAGTATTAAATGTAGATTAAAGAACCAGCAAAAATCAGCAAATTGGGGTAAGGAGTTTGCATAATCTGCAATTGCTACACTGGACTTTTCAGCAGCCCGTCAGTTCAGGGCTTCTTAATATCACAAAGGAAAGCAAACATCTATGTATCTCTGCAGCCACAACATCAAAGTGTGAGGGTTTCTGGGATCAGCCCCCAAGTGCACATGAAACCAGTGGTATTGAAGGTGATACATCTGCACTATCATATGGGCTGGTTTTTACCATCTAGACAAGTATCTCAGCAGTAGCTGTCAAAAAAAAGCAGGAAGACAGGGGCTTTTTAACTTTTGAACTCAGTGACTCCCTATCTTGGAACAAGATGGAGAGGGGAACAGAGGAAACACTGCTGGCTTTCCAGATCTTCCCCCAAAACAAGGCACAACAGAAGACTGAAGAGTCCTCAGACATACAAGAAAAGAATCTGCAAGATGACACTTAACAACACTCCCTAATGTCACCCACTGTAACTATCTGAAAGAATCTGTTTATTAAAATACCTTCTGAACAGACATTAAAGATAATTTTGCCCTTCCCATTTGCAAAGGAGTCTATGAGAATATTCTCTTTATAGCTGTAGTATGAAGTGGGAGAATCTATAGCTCCAAGTCACTCTCAAATTCAAGCGGAGGTGCTTTATTAATATGAATGCAGGTCTGCATGAACACAGCTTAGATAGTGACCAGGTGTAACAGGAAATGGAAACCAAGGGAAGAAAAACGAAGTCGAGACCAGTGTGCTCTTCCACGTTCAGACACAGGCTCTCCAGAGTACCTGCCCCACCACCACCCCACACAGGCACACTCACACCAGCATCTTCCTGCATGCAGGAGTCTACTGTAAAGACACAATTACAAACCTGAGAGGGAAAAAGAGCACACAAGAATTCAAAACTTACCTTTTCCAAGATGAATTTGTTTAGATAAGGCATGTAACCCTGATTGGAAACTGGTCCTTCATCATCATCCCTGAAGTGCTCTTCCAAGGCCACTGGGTCATGGGGAACATTTAACACTGTGCACAAGTTGTGAGAAAGGACCTAAGGACAGAAGAGAGATCAGTGACACTGCTGTCATCCTTAACCACACCGCGCTCCCTCCAGAGAAGATCTGTGACTCCCAAAACCACGCACAAAGAGACATTTTCATGTCAGCACAAGTTCTGCCCTGCAGATTTTTGTCAAAAACCAAAACCTAACTAAAGTAGTTGACTTCTAGGATTCGAGAGCTTCCGACAATTGCACATTTGCAGAATCACAGACAGGTCCACTCCTACCGAAGTACAAACACAGCTACAGAAGCTCCCCTTTGCAGACATACACTTGTGCATTTGAAAACCAGCAGAGGCATGCAGAAACACCAAAGTAATATTTACAGAGTGAAATTAGACAGCTACAAAACCAAACACAAACACCTAGCCTTTGAGATTATAAATATTTACTACCTAGTGAAAACCAGCAACAATGAAAACAACTCATATGTACCTTTAGTTTACAAAGAAATCACCAATCAAATTAAAGCATTAGCTACAGATTTCTCTCATCTGCTTGCTTTTGGGTTGCTTCTCAGCATTCACCCCATGTTTTAGTTGGCAAACAAAAGGAGCATTATAGAAAGGGGAAGGGTTTAGGCATGCTTTTCACACTTTTATTTTAAAAAGATATTTGCATGAATTATGTCAAGAGCTTAACACCCACCAGCACTCATGTCTGTTCTTGAGAAATGACCTTTAAGAAGAGGCTAAACGCTTGATTAGTTTTAAGGAAGTACTGAATTACTGAAAACTAACTGGTAGCCAACACATCTCGACTTCTCCAACTGAGGCTGAGTTTTGCACACACAGACCAGGGCCTCGGTACCAACAGCAGCAAGGCTGAGGCTGGCCAGCAGCAACTCCTGTGCCACCAGTACTTCCCTCAGGAGGGCAAAGCACTGTCCCTTGACGTCAGGCCAGTCCTGTAAGGCGCTGCCGCTGGGCTGGAACAGGCTGTCACTCGGGAGCCCGCTCCCCTTAGCGCGATGCAGAGTTAAGCCTCTGAAGACCATGTACCAGCTCCAGGAGCTGGGCTAAGGGCTTAACTACCCATGCCCAGGAATGGTCTGCACTGAAAAAACATAGCTAGAAAACAAAGGCAGAAATACAGGTAAAACAAAATTAGGCAGAAGTAAAACAGATCGCACCTTTCGAAAAGGCATGCTGCTTGTTAAGATTTTTTAAATCAACAGAGACTGCAACTGAATTTTGGCATATGTTTCCTGGGCAGCCTGAAGTTTGAAAAAAAAAAAAAAAAAACAAAAAACCCACCCAGAACCAAATGATGAAGAGAAAGCAGTAAAAAATGTGCAGGAAATTTATAAGCATGTCTGTTTAGGTGAGTACACATAAAGTGGTTGAGATGGGGTAGCTGCAAAACAAGAAGTGAAAGTTTGAAGTCATCAAGGCCTAGGAAATCAAACCTATGCCACACACTTAGGATGTCTGGGCTCCTCCCTAAATCATGTACATTTGCTCTTCTTCGTGTATCATAAGGAGACATGCAGAGTCTAAGCACTAGTTAGCATAAAATCCTACAAAGATAGCCCAAGATGCAAGTTCAGTCCAGAGGAGAATTCCTCTCTATGTATCTCCAAAGTTACGCTTTCCTTTAGAAAAGCACACACTTCCATGAGAAATTCCTGTTCTCACTGCCATAGCCAACATTGAGTCACTGGAGCGAATCAGGTGCAAAAGTTTAAGAACAGCAAATCAGTAGCATCAGCCATATTCCAACAAAAGCTGTATTTCCCAAAGTAGCAAAATAGCGTTTATCAATTATTGCATTTCATACTACCCTCCACCAACAGTATATCTCCCTTCAATTTAGCCTTATTTTTAACCACCACATCAAATCAAGTATGAATCCATGTGATTTACATATGGGGGGAAAAAATGGACCTGTGATGCGTGCTTCCCCTTCTATTTAAGACTTGTTGCTATTTATAGAAGACTGAGGGATTCTTTAATTTCTGAGAGACAAAGATGACCTCAGTTTTCCAACTACACTGTAGTTGCTAATACTACAACTAAAAAAAATCAGCTAATAAAAATATTCTAAAAGCATAACTGATTTAAGCTTATTACCAAAATCACTTCAAAGTCTTACTAAAACATCTTCTGATCATGCACTTTCTACATGTTTATCTTCTCCCTTTTTCAGCCTTCTTGCTGTGCTTGGGTTGTCAGAAACCTCAGTGGTTTTCCACATCAAGCAACTGATTTACCAGGAAAGAATTCCACTTTCAATCATTTTCTAAGATCTGCCTTATCTGCCATCTCTCCCGTGCCAGTGCTCTCTTTTCATAGCTCAGGAAATTCCTCGGTGCCTGCCAAAGCCTGCCATTCTCCGACACGGCCAAGCGCCAGCTGAATCCTTCAGTTGCAGCATAAGCCTGAAAAATTCTGCACTGAGGCCTCGTTCTGCTTTGTTCTTCCAAATCACTTTATCTGGACCATGATATACTCTATTTTAATGGTCAATAAAAAAACAGAACAAAACAAAACCCAGCCTAGCTGTGTACTAGGTTAATTGGGGTACGAAAAATCACCTGGCCCTGCAGCAGCTCCATCAACCATGAGGAAGTTCTGCACCAGTAAGGATTATTCCCCCGTGCCCACAGAGCTGCTAGGCAGATTTTTCTCTCAGTGCTTATTACACTGTGGATGGCACATTTAACAATCTACCTTCATGCCACAGCCAGCTCCTACCCCAGCCCAGGGACTCTTCTCTGGTGCAACAAATGGGTACAGTGGTGGTCCCCAAACTGTGGTCTGTGGGACCATACAAGCAGTCAGCAAAGGACTGCACAAAACCGGTGCACTCTTGGCACAATTGTTCCATTTTCAACAAAAAGTTTTGCAGCAAAGATGTGTAGTGGTGCCCATGGAATACTGAAGGTGTTCTGCTCTAAATAGAAATAACTGGATGAAACAAGCAAGCTGAACACCAAAGGTCACTACAGACTACGTATTTGCTGTAATTATGGCCAGTCTCAAGCCACTTTACCTGGAGCACAGATCTCTAGATCTGAGTAGGGCCCAGCTCTACTCCACCACAACTGTTCTTCTCTGAGCTCCCATTTTCCAAAACGCTGACCTTCCAAAACTTTAAGCATGTGTTGAATTGTTATGGTTTGAGCAGTTCCATTTAACCCTGTCCATAAAAGTGATCTGCATTTCTAAAGGGGGAAGGAAGATCTGCTAGACTACTTGCTGCTCAGCAACAAAAATTTGGCCCAGATGATAGCAGACGCATTAAAAGGGCAGAATAATCCTGCAGCAGCTATTGTCTGTTTCTTCAGTACTTTCTTCTTTTTCTTTTCCATCTTTCAGAAGACTTTTCTCCCTCCCCCATCTCTTTTTAAGACTTTTAAATGTTGGCATTGCATATCGTGACAGCTCCATTGAGTGGCTTCATGTGAAATCATTCCAAGACATTCTTGGCTCATCTCTCCCTGACATCCATGTCAGCAGCTAGCCAGCCAAAATAAGGCTACTTACAAGTACTGTCCCTCTCCCCTTTTTGACCAATGTGGAAACCAGCATTGCATATGTCCCTTGTCAAAGGCACAAGGCCTTCTCAACCAGGGCATTTTTAAGCATACAGTTTCTTGCACCACAGCATCTCCAAGGTACAGTTTCTTTAACCATTCAGGTAGCAAATGCTCCATTCAGAGTCTCATTATTTAACAACAGGGTTAGTACAGCAACCTCTTGCCCAGTCAGAAGAGCATATGCTGGCCCAGCCTCCAGCAGCTCTAGCACCCTTGGCCCACATCACCTCTCTGTTCCTTCACTTGCTTCCTTCTACCCTGGCTGTTCACAGGCCCCTCACCCTTCATCTGACGACCTCACCCTTCCTCTTGCCCTCATTATCAGCACATCCCCTTTGGCACATACTGGTGACAGCCTGCATCCATTCACTTGCCAAAGGAATTAATTGTCTTTCTGCCTTGTGACTTCCAGCCCTTAGCAGGAGCTCCCAGTAAACATTCTCCATTACTGCACCTTTCTTCTACCTCTGCCTTGAAACCAGTTGACAAAACCTCAAGGACAAAGGTTAGATGGGCTGCTGATCCACTGGCAGCTGCTCCTCTCAAGCACAGTATCATGGCCCCAACATTTCCCAATGCTCCCCCTGCTAGCCTAGAAGATGCCTGGGTTTGCCAGCTCTTCTGGAAGAGGGCCATCCCTTCCTGTCACAACTTAGACATGATTCCTCACAGCTACCTTAATACAAATGCTTCTGCACCCCATTAATAACATCAGAGTACAACTCTCTCATAGTGAGTCATAATGACTAATTTCCTACCATCCTTCAATGCTCTACAAAGTCAATTGTCCAGCTGGGGTCCTGCCCACTCGTCACAGGCTCTCAAGCTTTCCACTGGCTAGCCACATTGTTCGAGGTCTTCCTCTCAGTTCGGACTGTCCCTCTGGCCCTGATTACACCATTCTTCCTCTTCCCACTGGCCACTGACTTCCCACTTAATAGAAAGGCAAAACACAGCAAAGGGGTACAATATTCCAGTTTAAATTTTCTAAGCCTGACTAGTAAATCTGGTCACCTACATATTAGGGCCCCAAATGAGACCACATTTTCACAAGGTGCTCACCATCCATGTCCTGCAGTTATCACACTAGGAACCCAAGACTTTGCAAATCTACCACAGTGGCAGCACAGAAAACAGAAGAAAAGCAGGCAAAAACCTCACTGCCTAATGGAGACAAGTCACAAAGCAGTGAAAGGAAGTGCTTTCAGAGAGACTGCAAGAACTAGCTGCTACCTATTCTGTCCAAGACCCAACCATACACACACAGTACAAGTAGTGCCGGCTGCTAAGTCTACTACATTCACAACTACAGCATTTCAAGTTCTGGATGAAAATCAGAGCAGGTGTCGGCACGTTACAGAAGCTTTGATAAGAGGTTAATTTTAAAACTGCAAATTGCAAGAAAAATGAAACTGGATTTAAAAAAGGAAAGCAAGTATTTGCCTGCAGCTTGTGCTCAAAATCACAACAGTAACTACAACTGCAAACACAAAAGTTGTATTTTAGCCTTGCTCTATCAGTGTTTGAAAGTGCTGAAATGCTGATAAAATAATAGGTGTGTCCATATTTAAATGTGTCATTTAAGAACAGAATACACAAATGTTTCTGCTGATGTACAAAAAAGGGTAAGATCTGCAGCCAGCATACTAGTAGAATTTCTGAAGATTACCAATTAGACCAAAAAAGCCACATTAGTGCATATGGGAAGAAGATAATATTGAAAATCACACAGAGGACTGATTCGACTGTCTCTTCTCTCAACAGCTCATAACACATACAAACGATACAAATGGATTAAAGACATCATATGATATTCCTTACTACTCCAAACAAGTCCTAGTTTATCCTCCAAGCATTTGCTGTTTTTCCAGATTCCAAAACAGACCGAATTTACTCACCTCCACCCCTTTGCTCTAGATGTATGAAAACAAATGTGGTGCAAACTTCACAGTAGAACCTTAGCTACATAGCACACATTATTTTTTCTCATAGTATTTAATGAAAACTATTTATTTTTATGGAAAGCTCAAAGATCACATCTAGGGAGAGAAACCAGAAGTGGCTCTCTAACAATCAACATGATATACATAAGAGGTTCTGTGCAAGATGATAGCAGTACCTTATACTGGTTTATACAACTCAGAGACCTACTGTCAGTAAGTTTTACTGAGGAGGGAAGAGTTCAAGTTACAACATCATATGCTGGTCTCAGAAAACAAATACACTTTTACTAATTTTCTTTTATAACAGGAGTTTCACTCAATCAAACATAGTTTTCTAATGCCACAGATCTCTACTACCCTGTTTATGCCCAAACATCATCTCTCCATTTTATAGGAGTGCTATGTATTCCTCACGGCAACATGGATGAGAAATACTTTATCACGAAATATCTTCTTCGTACAACATAGCCCTAAATTAATCAGACAGGAACTTCTGCTTTGCTGTCCTGTCTA